AAAAAAAGTGATTTAAATAGACAGACATTAGGCGCTAAGGTCTTTTGTCAAGAGGGAAACAGCCCAGATTGATCGCTAAGGTCTCTAAATAATATTCTAAGTGAAAAAGGAAGTGAAAAAATGATTACAACCAGTAGGTAGGCTTGGAAGCAGCCATCCTTTAAAGAAAGCGTAATAGCTCATTGGTCTAGTTTTTTTGCGCCTAAAATGTATCGAGACTTAAGAAATTTACCGAAGCGGCAAGTTTTATTTTATATAAAACGGTAGCGGAACATTCTGTATGTTAATAAAGATATATTGTGAAATATATTGAAGATATCAGAAAAGAAAATGCTGGCATTAGTAACAAAAAATAACGCATATGAATCGTTATCACCGTAAATCCAAGGGTTTCTATGTTAAGATGTATTGCATAGAGTGAAACGGCCCCTAAGAAAGATTTGACGAAAGCAAATTTTGATGGGATAATTTTTAAATTAAATTTTTTTAAAAAAGTGACAAAAATTTTAATTTTTCAGGAAATAACTTTTTTAATTAAAAACCGTACCCTAAACCGACACAGGTGGATAGGTCGAGTAGACTAAGGTGAATGAGAGAACTATATTGAAGGAACTCGGCAAAATGACTTTGTAACTTCGGGATAAAAAGTACCTAATTATTAAAAAAAAATAATGAGGTGTCACAAAATAGGGGGTTGCGACTGTTTAATAAAAACTTAGGACTCTGCTAAATGGTAACATGATGTATAGGGTCTGACACCTGCCCGGTGCTGGAAGATTAAAAGGAGATGTTTGCGCATTAAATGGAAGTCCCAGTAAACGGCGGCCGTAACTCTGACGGTCCTAAGGTAGCGAAATTCCTTGTCGGGTAAGTTCCGACCTGCATGAATGGTGTAACGACATCCCCGCTGTCTCCAATATAGACTCAGTGAATTTGAATTATCCGTGAAGATGCGGATTTTCTATAGTTAGACGGAAAGACCCCGTGAACCTTTACTACATCTTTATATTGTTATTTTATCTAATATGTGTAGTATAAGTGGTAATCGTTTAGACCTTTACGCTAGTAAATTGTTTAGATATTCTTGAAATACCACTCTTATTATAATAAATAACTAATATTTTTTTAAATAGACATTGTATGGTTGGTAGTTTGACTGGGGCGGTCACCTCCTAAAGAGTAACGGAGGTGTACAAAGGTAAGCTCAAATTGGATAATAGTATCAATTGTAGAGCATAATGGTAAAAGCTTGCTTGACTGTAAGATAGACATATCAAACAGGGACGAAAGTCGGTCATAGTGATCCGATAATTCTTTGTGGAAAGATTATCGCTCAACGGATAAAAGGTACTCCGGGGATAACAGGCTGATGACTCCTAAGAGCTCCTATCGACGGAGTCGTTTGGCACCTCGATGTCGACTCATCACATCCTGGAGCTGAAGAAGGTTCCAAGGGTTCGGCTGTTCGCCGATTAAAGTGGTACGTGAGTTGGGTTTAGAACGTCGTGAGACAGTTTGGTTCCTATCTTCTATAGATATTTTGAAAAATGAAAGAATCTAACTCTAGTACGAGAGGACCGAGAAGGGTAAATCTCTGGTGTATCGGTTGTTAAAAGGCATCGCCGAGTAGCTAAATTTATTTTGGATAATTACTGAAAGCATCTAAGTAAGAACCCATTCTTAAAAATTTTTCATATAAAAACTGTAAAAGACGATTACATTAATAGGTTTTAAGTGTAAGTGTTGTAAAATATTTAGCTTAAAAATACTAAAAGTTTTAAAAATTAAAATATAATTATTTCTTTGTAGCTCAATGGTAGAGCAAATGGCTGTTAACCATTAGGTTGTAGGTTCAAATCCTATCAAAGAAGTTTTATATTTTAGGTCGAATAGCCAAGTCAGGTTTACGGCAGTAGTTTGCTAAACTATCAGTTAATTTATTAACTCGTGGGTTCAAATCCCACTTCGACTTATTTTCTTAATAATTAATAAGATGATGTAGTTTAATGGTAGAGCGTGGGAATCATAATCCTAATGTTGTAGGTTCAAATCCTACCATCATTATTATTTTTTTTAAATATAAAAACGATTACTAATATTATTTTAAAACGGAAGGTAGCATAGTCTGGCTAATGCATCTGTTTTGGGAACAGAAGATCAAAGGTTCAAATCCTTTTCTTCCGAAAATCGGTAATAAGATGAGATAGAGTAATAGGTAACTTATCAGGCTCATAATCTGAAGATGTAGGTTCAAGTCCTGCTCTCATCATTTCATTAATATAATTTATGATTCAAGTTCAAACTAAATTAAAAGTAAACGATAATAGTGGTATTAAAATAGGACAATGTATAAAAATTTATAAAAAAAA